AAATAGAAGTTAAACACGCACAATACAAGCACCAAAAACACAAGTAGAGGAGTTTAGAAATGAGAGTAACTTTCTTAGTTCTTATATATACGCATATATACATATATACATAGTGCAAGAATGATAATGTAATTGAATCATTCGTATTTGATCTAACAATTGAGAAAAAATGACCTCATTTATTAGAAACAAAAATTATAAATAAGTAAACTATATAGTTTATCATCAGGGGTATATAATATCACAACATCAAATTAAACGAAAACTCTGCTGCCTTGTTGCATGACAAGATATGTCCCAAGAAACTTTAATGATCCAGCGTTGGTGACAGTGTCAGTGAATAGGGAAATCTCTAGCCTCTACCTAATAAAGCAAACGAAAATGACTTCCATTAAAAATTGGAAAAGGGCATGCATAAAGTCATGCAATGAGCCCTAAACTGAAGAGGGAAGAAGGAGAGGTGATTCGAACTCGGGTGTAGAATGGAACATGTTCTTCGTTCTAGCCAGGTTAAGTCAATGTCTGCATATACTCTTTCATTTTAAAATAAAAAAACATCTTTCTGAAATTTTGAAGTTCAAAACATCTTCAAAATTCAAAAGAATATTTCATCAATCATTCAATTGTTGTTTTATTGTTTTATACAAAAGCCGACACACCACGCCCATCTGCTTTAATTTAGAAATCTGAATTCTATTGTTGTTATTGTAGTTAGCTTAGTGAAAATATCAATGATACCTAATTAACAAGTCAATTAAAAATATTTCACTACATATTCAAAGTAAAGAGCCTTACCATAATAGAAATAAAGAGAAAAACGACATGAGGGATTGGAAAAGAAAAATACATATCCAATACTATTAGTAGAACTATGTTTAGTAAATACTATGTTATGAATTAAGGACATTGTTTGTCTCCCTTAGAAGGATACAAATCATAATTTGACACTTATACAAAAATAATTTATTAAAAACGAAAAAATAAAAATTTATGTATACATATCAAACTGTAATTGACATGAAAGTAGGAGTTCCTACTTACAGTAGAAGGAGACAAATAGTTCCCATGAATTATGACAAAACAACAACTTGTGCTTTGTTTATGAGGTCCCTACATATTTTATTTTGGATGTCCTCTCTTCTTCCAAGTTTTTTTTAAAGATATAATTTCTTTTTTATAAATTTAATGTTTGAAAAACCCTAGCCGCTAAGAGAGAGAGAGAGAGAGTCAGATCTTGTCCGATCTTGTCGGGTCATCAGTTTTCTTTGTCTTTTGGTGGACCTATGTCGATCTACTCTTCCTTTGGCAGATCTATTGTCTCAAATCTTAGCAAGTCTGGTCTTTGAGGTGTTTCAATTTGGTCATGGTAGATCCACTGCTTATTGGTACGTTGAGGCCCTGGAGTAACTAGATGACGCTCTCTATGTCATGTCCTAGAGGAAGATTAGAGGTGATTGGTTTTCCTTTTGCCGACGTTATTCTAGCTTTTCAGTTTTAGAAAAGTTTATTCAATACAGTCTAGAAACTCTATAAGTTGTTTGTGTTGTTTTTCTTTCATAATTCTAAACACTTTGTTGAGTTTGTTTGGTTTTGTAGTATTTTTAGGAGAGTCATGCCAGTTAGCGACTGATTTTGTCTTTGATGTAATTAGACTATATTCAAGGCAACTATGGAGGTAGATAAGGGTTTTAGAAAAGTTATTTTTTGGAAGTTATTTTCTCTAATTTGTTTCAGCTTTTTGGCTATCTTAGGTCACTAGGGAAAGTTTTGCGCATGTTCACTGTACTGCTATTGGGATGGCTCCCTTTACAATCCTTTTCTTTTGTACTCATTTTATATGTTTGATCAAATAAACTTCAATTTTTAATCTATAAAAAAAAAGGCCATGTATACTATTCTAACCATGTTTTTTTTCCTAACCTTAAAAAATGTTCTAAGTTCGAATTTAAAAAGAAAATTCTTGTAAATATATATATTATACTCGAAATCTCCCATATGAAGCAAAATGGAGTAGTCTAGCTGACAGCTTATGAAGATGGTCAACCTAGGTGCATCCATCATTGAAGATAGATCCACAAATTATTTCATTTTTAGCATCTTATAATAGGTTTACATGCAACGTCACATCAAAGGGACAACGAAACTTTAGACCATATTTTCTGTTTGGTTTGATTTTTCGGACGCAAGTCAAATAATTTTTCCATGAGAATTTGAGTACATATATTTTTTTAATAAATCCCATAAAGTGTCACCGACATTATTGATAAACATGAGCATTTTTGCTAATTACTTTAACTCAATTTGTACATTCATTAAATATTGAGAATGAGGATATATCTTGGATTAAAATAGTAAGCAAAAATATTTTCATGACATAAAAAGCAAATTAATTTTTTTTTAAAATTTAAAAAAGAGCACGAAGACTGATCAAATTAAACACACGATTTGTTTTTGTTAATCTTTCCGATCTTTTGTAATGTACTCCCATATGAACAACTTGTGGAATTTCTCAACTAATTAAGAAAACCACAAAGTCTTTTATTCACATTGGATAAAGACGAGACTCATTTGATAAAATTTCAATATCATCTTTGAGCTATGTTTGTTCAACAACTAAGTCTCCCTTTCTGGTCCATGCAGCGGTAGGTCACGTAAATTGTGGTCCTAAATATTATATGAGAACAAGAAACAACCAAAACTTTGACAGCAAACCACAATTAAGTCATGCTTAAATTTGTCCTTCACAAATATCCTTATTGAGGGGTGGAATGTTTATTTTATGGATCTACTATCAATTGATGCTTTGGGTTTAGTGGTGTTTGGGAGAAATTGTGACAATGTGTCCTGGTGGAAGTTGAGTGAGATTTGTTTTTCCACGTATACATGTTTCCTATCCCCAACTCCCAATTTGATAGAGAGTTATCATCTTTTATATGATTTTCTTACGTAACCCGATACAGTGATTTTATGAATTCTCTTATGTTTTTAGTTCTTAATGAGCTGGGTCTTCAAGATGTAAAATTAATTTTGCTCATTGTCTTGCAATAATTGTGATTATTGTTTGTATCTTTCATTGTTTTTAAGAGCCCTTTGTGGGGCTATGATCATAATGTCCATTTATTAATGAAATTGACGCGGCTATAAAAAAAAATGCTCTTAACAAGAATTTTTTTATTACCTTTTATATATTCATTTTCAGAGTACGTAGGATAATGTCCCCTCAAAAGATTGAACAAAACAATCAATGTGGCTCATTAGCGTTGAGTGAAGAGAGAAAGATAATTAAATGGACAGCACAAATATACACAATAAAAAGGGAAAGAAATTAATGGAGTGACCTGAGGGCCAAATTATTAGCCAAAGTGAAAGTCAAATTATTAGCCAATTTATTATGGTGTAATCATCAGGAAACAGCCTGTGGATTAAATAAATAAAAAATTAAAGGCAACCTGCTACTCAATTATATTTGAATTTGGTGTGGTGAAGGTGTAAAACCACATTTGGTTATATGTATTATATATGTACACCGCGACTACGTGGCACGACATGACCTAAGACAACTGTAAAACATTGATAATAATAATAATAATAATATTCAATACCTCAGTTTGAATAGTTATGCTCAGTTTGATGTACTTTTTTCCATGATAAAATAGTTATAATCATGATATATTAATATGGTATAAAATGCTGTGCAGTCAAGTACATGCCAGATCAACTTTCAAGTAATACTAGATATATAAATTAATTTTATTTTGTGAGAATTTATATTCTCATGACGGATCACATGTTATGTACATAAATGAAATATAAAACAAACATTATATATAATTTTTTTCCATTTTCTCACGATATGCGTCCATCGGTCATCAAACGATACTTTGTGCCAATTGTTGGATCCATCATCCATATATTAGAGAATTTCACTTGCCTATATTACATTGTGAATGATTATATATACACAATTTAACTAAAACAAATATATATGAGTTGTAAGCAAGAAATTTGTAGCTCATGTGGTTCTTAAAAGCATTTATCTATACACTCGAGATATTTGACTTTGTATTTTTTAATTTATATTTTGAGGTTGGGTAATATTGTGAATAAAAAATTATGATAGTGTGATGAAAGATGACAATGCTTGGTTTACCTTTTCACTCCTGCATTCATTTTCATATCTCTTACCCAAACGTATCAATCAAAGAATTGTAACCGAACCAAACTAATACGTTTTGATTCAATTTTGGGGCCGTTTGACATTTTGATGGTCAAAATTAAACCAATCTGCTCATTACAATTTTGATCGATCGGCTTAATGCCCACAAAAAACGAAGCTAGTTTGGAGGTAATTCTATTTACTAAACTATAGATTGACTTGTGTTTATTTTATTTTATTTATAATTGTGTTATTTTCCTTTCGTGTTGAGCCGGTTACAACTTGAGTCACCCTAATTTGTCTTTAGGCAAATGACCCAAAGAAAGAACAGAGAATTGAAGAGAAGGACAGAAAACATTTGGATTTTGGTTTAAGTAGGATTTGTTTTGGGTTAATAATATTTGAAGGCTTGATAAAAGACGAGATCGATTGAACTAACTGAGATGGGCACAGCCCATCCAACGGTCATAAATTAGCAAAACGTTCTTCTCAGGACCACATGGAAATGAAACCCATCCATTCAGCTCTCGAAAATTCTCTCTCTCTCTCTCTCTCACATCACTCGTCGTCAGCTCAGAGAGAACACTTTGCACATGTTTGCAAATGACAAAATTTAACACAAAAAGGAAAAAAAAAACGGAAAAAAAAAAAAACGTCACGGATCAA